GCTTAAAAGCCTGAATTTTGCCTGAAACTCTCAGACTGAAGAAGTCTCTTGGAGAAGAGACGAAAHGTTTCRTTAGAGAAGAACCCGTCCAGAGGACCTATACAATTTTTTTCTTTTTGATTTTTTACCTGGATTACTGAGATGCATCAGGACATTAATAAGAAACCAACTTCAGTACAGTTAGCGTGCTAAGTTGGTAGCTAGTTCGTCTTAAAGCGTTTGAGAGAAAACATTTTCTTAGTAATAATGAAATTAAGCTTAATCATTAGAAGGTTTGTTTAACCTTTTCTCACTTGCAGTACTGCAGAGCAAACGAGAAACGCACTTTAGCGTGCGTCTGTTTCTTTTTGCACAGGTTAGAACTGCATTTCCCATGAGGCACTGCGGCGAGCGTGTTTTTCTAGGAAGTGTCGCGGTCCCAGCGTCAGTGTGTCTTCCGGTCGGGGAGTGGAGGTCTCCGAAAACAAGCTGTCGGCAACAAACACGGGAGTTAAATCAATGCACAGACGCACACGGCTTCATTGGATGCAGAAAGAACGAACCTGTGGATAAATGAAACCTAAAGTGACCCAGCTCCGATAAGGTGAGAGGAAAAGTGGAAAGCACGGGAACGGATGTTTAAATATCCAAAACCCTCCAGAGCAACGTCACTAGCCTGTGTGTGAGGCAATGTAACCCCTAGATAAGGCTTTAGTCACACTGTTGTGTATTTGTTTGGATAATGGATTGCTTATGGTGCCTTGTGTGTCCAGTTATGAATTGTTCTGGTCGGTGGGCACCTTTCACAGATGTTCTGGTTGTTGTTGTTGGACTGAAACAGAGCAGTCGTTGTCTGCCTGCTCGTGTCCCCTCCCATCTGTCTCTGTCAAGTCCACATGACAGCAAATTGTTAAAACCAGCCTCCTGGGTTTATTTATTAACTGTCTGCAGCTACTGCCAAGCTGCGCTCCTGAAGAGTAGCAGAATTCCTGTTTACATCAACTTAATATTGTTTACAACTTATGTAACTAATGAAATAAAAGCTCGGTTGTCCTGCCACTAACTTTAACCATTCATTCTGCTCTTGTTTCACAGTGGATTCAATTCATATGTTTAATACATCACAATGTATCAGTGTTGTATAAAGTACAACAAAGTGATGCTTGAGTAAAAGTACAAGTATCTTCCAAAATAATTACTTTGGTAAAAGTTAAAGTCCGCTTTAGGAATACTACTTGAGTAAAAGTCTTAAAGTATCTGATATATTTTGTACTTAAGTATTAAAAGTAAAAGTATTGATTTAAAACGAGCAGTAATATTTTCTGTAATGACGTTTATTACATGATTTGTTTGTGTATAAACTAATACAGTATCAGAATTTTATATATTTATACTTCTCGTCCTGATGCATCTCAGTAATCCAGGTAAAAAAAATCAAAAAGAAAAAAATTGTATAGGTCTTCTGGACGGGTTCTTCTCTAATGAAACGTTTCGTCTCTCCTCCAAGAGACTTCTTCAGTCTGAGAGTTTCAGGCAAAATTCAGGCTTTTAAGCACTGCCTCCATGTGACTGATACTCACATCACATGGCTATCGTTGACACCTAATTAACACCTATTGTTAACAGGGGGTGGAGTGATACTCGTAATAGCAGCACTGTAGGAGGGGGACAACTGATGGTTGTGGAGGTGGAAGGTGGAGGCCTCCGTTCTCAGTTGTCCCCCTCCTACAGTGCTGCTATTACCAGTATCACTCCACCCCCTGTTAACAATAGGTATTAATTAGGTGTCAACGATAGCCATGTGATGTGAGTATCAGTCACATGGAGGCAGGGCTTAAAAGCCTGAATTTTGCCTGAAACTCTCAGACTGAAGAAGTCTCTTGGAGGAGAGACGAAACGTTTCATTAGAGAAGAACCCGTCCAGAAGACCTATACAATTTTTTTTCTTTTTATACTTCTCATTCAACAGTTAAATTCACTCTATCTAGGAGGCACAATGTATATGGATAGTATTTATTTTTTACAATAACACGCTGGAATGAAAACAAACAAAAATGAAATAAAAGTAACAACTTTTTGCTTCTTGTCTTTTTTTTAAAAAATGTAAGAAGTAGAAAGTACAGATAACTGTGAAAATGTACAGAGTAGAATTAAAAAGTACGCTGAAAAATAATCACTCAAGTAAAGTACAGATACCTAAAAATTATACGTAAGTACAGTAACAAAGTATTTGTACTTAGTTACTTTACAACTGCAATTATTGAACAAAACACAGGCTTTTACACGTAATTACTGCATTTCACTGTACACAAAATTCGTTTTAGTTTTTCCATAATCCTTGATTTTTATTCTAATTCATCATGTAGCTGGATTGTTATTATTTTTTCTAAGAGGGAGAATAGAGATGTGCGAAGCTCTAAACGTGCGTTCCTTTTACAGGCAGCCATCAGTCCTGTGGCCATGAATAAACAACAAAGTAAGGAAACCCTGAAGGACAAGGTGAAGGGGATCTTTGGACTTGGGACTCCCCGGCCACAGATCAAATCATGCGACCCTAAGCTGCCGGAGTTTATTATAACTGCTGAAATTATTAAGGTGAAATTCTGCTTACACACGTCTGCTCTGTTCATACACTCCTGCACAAACATCGTGTGGTGACCAAAGCAGCCACTCATAAATAAAAGTGCAAACTGAAGCCGTTATGGCAGCTGTTTTTGTGTCTCGAAACTTGAATCCATACCTGCAAATATGAGTTGTATGCCATTGTTTTAAAGGACCTCCTTATATTTTGTCCTCCTTCTTGTCATAACAAATGGTATTTTTGTTTCTAATCTGATTATTGGTGATGCCTTTTTCTCAGACCATATGCCTGTTTTATTCAGTTTCATCCCCAACAGTACATCTCCTAAAGAGTGCGCTCCCAACTACGCACAGCCGGGCCAGTAACCCTTCAACTGCCACACACTTTACAGAAATATTTAACTCTGAAGGTTTCAATCTGTTTTCAGAGTCTGCTAACACTGAAGAGCTTTCCTTTCAATTCCAAACAGCATGTGTTAACATTCTAGATCTGGTGGCTCCAGTTAAAACCAAACGCCTGAAGTCCAGGAATGAACCTTGGTTAAACGATGAAACCAGAGCACTCAGTGTCGGAAAGCTGAGCAGAGATGGAGAAAGGACAAACTGCAGGTTTCTTTTGAGATGCTAAAACAGAGCTGGCGTTCTTATCAGAAAGCTGTTAGAGCTGCAAAAGGTAAATACTTCTCAGACATCATTGTTTCAAACTCGCACAACCCCCGAATCCTCTATTCTACTCTGAATACTGTTCTCCACCTGAATGAACCAGCCCTCCTGGAAGCCTCCTTTGAACTGTGTGAGGAATTTCTCACCTTCTTCGTAGATAAAGTTTTTCAAACTCGGGCTCTCATCTACCACCCAGCTCATGATGCATCCATCTTAACGCCTTGTCCAGCAGTATTTGATCACTTTGAGCCCATCTCTCTGTCCCACTTAGAGCAGCTTTTTTCCAGCTTAAAACCATCTGGATCCCCCTTTGATACAGTTCCCCACCGACTTCTAAAAGATGTCTTCCCTACTCTGGGTCCTGCTGTTCTTAACTTCAGGTGTAGTCACACAAAGCTTTAAACAGGCAGCCGTGCAGCCCCTCCTAAAAAGAGATGGCCTTGACCCTTCCATAGTGTCTAACTTTAGACCCGTTTCCAAACTGCCATTTCTGTCAAAGCTGTTGGAAAAAGTAGTGGACACTCATTTTGGAGACATTTCAATCAGGCTTCAGATCCCATCACAGCACTGAGTCTGCTCTGTTAGGTGTTTAATGACATCTTTTTAGCTCTAGACTCTGGTGAATCTGTTCTCCTTGTGCTATTAGACCTCACATCTGCCTTCGACACCATTGATCATAACATCGTCATTTCCAGGCTGGAGAAGGAGATGGGTATCACAGGTTCGGCTCTCAGTTGGTTCAAGTCGTACCTGAGGGACAGACACTTCTGTGTTAACATCAAGGACTTCTTGTCCTCATCAGCATCACTTCAATGGGGAGTACCACAGGGCTCTATCCTGGGACCCCTTCTTTTTTCCTTATACCTACTGCCACTAGGCGCAATCTTTCATAAACATGAAATACCATTTCATCTTTATGCGGACGACTGTCAAATTTACTTTCCTCTGAAACAGGCTGGCCCACACTGCATCCAAACTCTTCTTGACTGCCTGGCTGACATCACGGATTGGATGGCTTTAAACTTCCTAAACTTTAATGACAAGAAAACAGAAGTCATTCTGTTTCCAACTAACAACACAAACAGTAACACTTGCATTAACCTTTCCACTCTGGCCCCGTTTGAAAAGCAACTTGTCACCAACTTAGGCGTAAAAATGGATCCATACTTGAAATTAAATAGTCATGTAAAACTCCATTGTTAAATCCTGCTTTTTTCAGCTGAGGAGACTGTCCAAGTTAAAACCCATCCTGTCAAAAAGAAATCTGGAGACAGTAATTCATGCGTTCATTACATCCAGGCTAGATAACTGTAATGCTCTGCTGTATGGAATCAGCCAGTCCTCCATTGCTCGTTTACAATGGTTCAGAATGCAGCAGTCAGATTCCTAACTGGCACAAGAAAAAGAGAACATACAGTCATATGAAAATGTTTGGGCACCCTTGTGAATTTTCCTGATTTACCGTCATAAATCATTGATTGTTTGGATTAAAAATATCAGTTAAATATATCATATACAATAATTGTTTAAACAAAATTAGGCAGGTACATAAATTTGGGCACCATAAAAAAGCCTTACCTCAATATATAGTAGCTCCTCCTTTCACAGAAATAACAGCCTCTAAACACTTCCTACAGCTTCTAATGAGAGTCTGGATTGTGGCTGAAGGTATTTTAGACCATTCTTCTTTACAAAACATCTCTACTTCATTCAGGTTTGATGGTTTCTGAGCATGGACAGCTCTCTTTAAGTGACACCACAGATGTTCAATAATATTCAGGTCTGGGGACTGAGATGGACATTCCAGAACGTTCTACTTGTTCCTCTGCATGAAGGCCTCAGTAGATTTTGAGCAGTGTTTAGGGTGGTTGTCTTGTTGGACGATCCAGCCCCTGCGCAGCTTCAGTTTTGTCACTGATTCCTGGACATTGGTCTCCAGAATCTGCTGATATTAGTTGGAATCCATGCGTCCTTCAACTTTAACAAGATTCCCAGTCCCTGTACTGGCCACACAGCCCCACAGCATGATGGAACCACCCCCACATGTTACTGTAGGTAGCAGGTGTTTTTCTTGGAGTGCTGTGTTCTTTTTCCTCCATGCATAACGACCCTTGTTCTGCCCAAATAACTCTATTTTAGTTTCATCAGTCCACAGCACCTTATTCAAAAATGAAGCTGGCTTGTCCAAATGTGCTTTAGCATACCTCAAGCAGCTCTGTTTGTGATGTGGGCGGAGAAAAGGCTTCCTCTGCATCACTCTCACATACAGCATCTCCTTGTGTAAAGTGTGATGAATAGTTGAACGATGCACAGTGACTCCATCAGCAGCAAGATGATGTTGTAGGTSTTTGGTGHTGGTCTGTGGGTTGACTCTGACTCTTCTCAACATCCTTCACTTCTGTTTATTGGATATTGGAGATTTGTCTTGGTCTGCCACTTCCAGCCTTGACTTGAACTGTGCCTGTGGTCCTCCATTTTCTCACAGTTTCTCACAGTGGAGACTGAAAGCTGAAATCTCTGAGATRGCTTTCTGTATCCTTCCCCTAAACCATGACGGTGAACAAYCYTTGTTTTCAGCTCATTTGAAAGTTGTTTTCAGACTCCCATGCTGTCACTCTTCAGAGAAGATGCAAAGAGGAAAAAAACTTACAATTGCCCCCCTTAAACACCCTTTCTCATAACTGGAGTCACCTGTGTATGGAGGTCAAGGGTCACTGAACTTACCAAACCAAATTTGAGTTCCAATAATTAGTTCTAAAGRTTTTGAAATCAATAAAATGAAAACAGTGCCCAAATTTATGCACCTGCCTAATTTTGTTTTACCAATTATTGAACACTTTCTGTAAATCATATAAACTTCATTTCACTTCTCAAATATCACTGTGTTTGTCCCCTATATGATATATTTAACTGATAAATCAGGAAAATTCACAAGGCTGCCCAAACCTTTTCATATGACTGTATTACTCCTGTTCTAGCATCTCTTCACTGGCTTCCGGTTTATTTCAGAATTCAATTTAAGATCCTCCTGTATGTCTTTAAATGCCTAAACAGCTCCATCTCGTCTTACCTCTCAGATCTAGTGCATCCACTTGTCCCACAGCGCTGTCTTAGATCATCTGGTCAGCTGCTTCTGAAGGTCCCTAACTCTCGTCTCAAACTGAGAGGAGACAGATCCTTTTCTGTAGCAGATCCAAAACTGTGGAACCACTACATGTCAGACAGTCTCCTTCCCTCGCTGTCTTCAAGTCTCGCTTAAAAACACGCTACTACTCCCTTGCCTTTGAGTCTGAGTGAGATGGTGCAAAACCTCACCGTGTATCATAACTCTGTTCTATATGTACTGTAAATATAAATGCTGCATATTTTTAACTGTATTTTTACTGTATTTTGACTATGTCCTGTTGTTTCTGTCTATTGTACAGCACTTTGGTTGGCCTTGTGCTGTTTAAAGTGCTTTATAAATAAAAGTAGTATGGTATGGTATAGGGCTGCAACGATTAATCGACGACTAATCGATTATTAAAATAATCGATGACTAAATTAATAATCGATTAATCGTTTTCTTTCTTTTTTTTGTTCTTTACTTTGTTTTTCTCTCCAAATTGCTTTGGCACCTTCCACTGCCACATCTGCCTTTCTGTCCTTGACACACATGCACAGTAGTGGTAACTGGGGTAGGCCGTGGACGTCACAAGACATTATACAGACAGGCTCTGGTATCATGGCTACCCAGCAACAGAGCTCAAAGTGTGGGATCATTTTAAGAAAATGAAAGAGAAACCTGTGTAATATCTGCAGAGCAGAACTAACCTTCCACAGCAATTATTTTTAGTTAGCATATAGCTAAAATCTAACCATGGTTATAATAGCATCTGCATTCTGGCGTGATAAGCTGTATGTTTTACATTCAATTGATGTATGATCCGATTAGTCGACTAATCGAATAAATAATCGGTGATTAATCAATTATAAAAATAATCGTTTGTGGCAGCCCTAGTATGGTAAATTAGTAATGGTTTAGGTAAGAATATAATTGGCTGTGATTTATATTTCAAGGCAGCATTCCTGGGATATTTATGTTTATAGCCTGTTGGTCTTTTATCATGGCGAAGACAACATTTTCTCTGTTTTAAAAACAGCTTATCTTATTGTAATGATTAACATTATCTGTTGTAATTATCATTGCTGATGCTGTTGGTAGGGAGAAACACCAGGATGAGTCATTCAGATTACATGGTGGCATTTTGGGAAAACCATTATTTGTCTCGACATCAGAATTGAAACTAAAATTGTTGTGTAAACCAAGCATACAGCAATTCACTGTTTGCAGGTGATGACTGAAACTTTATTTACTTTTTAAAGAGGAGTTTAAATGTAACATCTTGACTGTTTGAAACTGGATGGCCACTGAAAATTGCTAGAAAACAGGTAATATTTTTGTTGGCGGTGCACATTATTTCATTGTCCATCCACACCGTAGCCGCCTCCGCCTGCCACGTCACCAGCCATACATGTTAATATTTTTAATCTACTAGAGTATAATTTTAAAACAAAGATAGGCAGATTTGAACGAGTTTTCCAATAAATACATATAACAGGTGTGGTTTTCAGACCTGGACATGTTTTCTGTTCAAACAGCTTCCTTGCAGTTGTCAAAAACAAAACAAAACAAAAAAAAAAAAAAAACAACGCTTCAGCACACTCCAGATGAGTTGGAGATGTCTGCGACGCCTCTGTAGCTATTTTGAAAGAAAATAAATTTTTTCACATGTTCAAAGCTTAAGTGACAAGACTGTAAGACGCTGAGTCATGCAGGAAAATTGAGAACTCCCAGAAAAGTTTTGAATGTCCTTTTGAAGTCTCCCGTGCCAACGCGGTTCGCCAACTAGTTGCCATCACTCGCAACGCGGTGACGTACGTACTTCCCAAAGCTTGCTGGTGCTTTTGTAAAAATGTATTTTGTTACAAGTTCAGCTGATGTTACAAATGTGATTCCACATAAGTTTGTCTCAGAGTCAGGACGTGTGACTGTAATGGGACAAAATTCTACCATGTTTATTCATGTATAATATGATCATCATTTTTTGAGCTAAAAAGCATTAAAAATCTAATTATTAATAACCCGTGTATAAGACTACCCCCACTTTATGAATGATTTTTAAGGTTAAATTTCTAGTACATGAATAAATACAGTACTTGGCTTTGTAGATGTTTAAATACAACATATTGTGATCTAATTATTTACTCTTTATGTTTTGCAGGATCTCCATCCAGATAACGGCCCGAACAACCGGATTCGGGTTATCAACCAAATTTGTGATCTTGCAAAAATGAAGAAATTTGAGGAGGTAACTGAATAATATGTCGTTACATATTTTTACCATTTAGCAACACGTCCGGTCTGCTGTATTCTTTAAACCTTTTGGGTTCTGTGCTGCTCAGCATGCTGTTGAGGCTGTGTGGAAAGCTGTGGAGGACATGTTGACCCCGGAGCAGCCGCCTGAGGCCAGACATGCTGTCCTGCAGCTTCTTAGGGCCATTATCCAGGGCCAGGTACTCCCACTCATCATGCCCACTAAGCAGCTCATGCAAACTGTTTGTGTGTTTTAATTCAAATGGCATCGTTTATTCAAAGGGAGAGTGGCTTGGTCCTTTGAGGGCCTACTTTTTCAAGGTGATCAGAGACTACCAACCATGCAACGAGGATCTGTCAGAAAGACTGGAAGTGTTCAAGGCTTTAACTGAAAACGGGAAGGACATCACTTACCTGGAGGAGGACGTAGGTAAAATATTCAAATCTAAAAGTATTTGCTTTTGAACTGCTGCTTCAGATTTTGAAGTTTTAGAGGAATCATTAGATTCATCGGTCTACAGAAATACAGTAAGCTTGTCATAAACTTTAACACAAAAATGAAGCACAGCTTAACTTACCGCTCTGCTTTACTGTAATTTTAAAATGTGATTATCGGTTATATTTGAAAATAAACCTTGAGTTGACATTATTTTTTTTCTTTAAAATTTTGTCACATAAAATGTTCTTTGGAGCTTTAATATAATGTACTTTTTTATTTATATATTTGAAGAAACTTTATTGAAAAAACTGCAAGTGTACAACAACAAATGAGGTATACAAAGGAACACAACTCTTATGGTAAATGGACTGAACTTATATACTGTAGAGCCTTATCAAGTCCACTTGGACCCCAAAGCATTTTACACTTCACACATTCACACACACATTCACACACACATTCACACACACACACATTCACCTACATTCACACACACACATTCACCTACACATTCACCTACACATTCACACACACATTCACACACACATTCACCCACATTCACACACACACATTCACACACACATTCACACACATTCACCCACACATTCACACAATTCACACACACATTCACACACACATTCACACACACATTCACACACACATTCACACACATTCACACACACATTCACACACATTCTCCCACACATTCACACACATTCTCCCACACATTCACACACATTCTCCCACACATTCACACACATTCTCCCACACATTCACACACATTCTCCCACACGTTCACACACATTCTCCCACACATTCACACACACATTCACACACACATTCACCCACACATTCACACACACATTCACCCACACATTCACACACACATTCACCCACACATTCACACACACATTCACACACACATTCACACACACATTCACCCACACATTCACACACATTCACCCACACATTCACACACATTCACACACACATTCACCCACACATTCACCCACTGATGATGGTAAGCTACATTGTAGCCACAGCTGCCCTGGGGCACACTGACAGAGGTGGGGCTGCCATGCACCGGTGCCACCGGACCCTCTGACCACCATCAGTGGGTAAGGTGGGTGAATTGTCTTGCCCAAGGACACAACGACTGAGTCGACTGGAACGGGATCGAACCGACAGTGGGACAACTCCCCTAACCACCACAGTATTGGTTTTGGGTATTGAAGCATTGTGTATGAGTACTTCTAAAAGTTCTAGTACCAGTCCGATACAGAGAACCAGAATTTGAATCTGGACACCACTACCTATTTTAAAAAAAGCTGCCTTTGTTTTGTTTTTTCAAGTTCTGGGGTCGGATTTATAAAACTGGCATACGCACAATTTGATCCCAGAAACTTGCGTACGCCACTTTTTACGCCAAGGTTATGATTTATAAAATCCAAACTTGACGTGAAAATGTGCGGTGCCTCAGCCAGCTCTGACCCATGCGTACGCTCATTTTGGAGACGGGAAACTGCAACACAGATGGTGAAGTGAGGAATTAGAGCCACACTGTGTAATGATCACTGTCAGATATCTAATTTACCTTCAGAATCAGACTTAGATTTTTATTCAACTTTATCGTCAGCTTTCTTAACAGTAATATTTATGCTTCTGCTGCTGAGCCACGAGGACCTTTGAAATAAAAAAAAGTTAAATCTTAAATAAAAGTTCCCGTGTGCAACTCCCTTCATCTGCTTCCTCCTCACGACCCTGACACACAGACCCCTCCCTGACCCACAGACCCCTCCTCGACAAGAACAGCAGGACAGTAAAAGTCACGCTTTGGATACACGCGCAGGGCGCATCCACCTCGCCAGTGTGGATGTTATAAAGTCCGTATTTGGTGTGCCGGGGGGGGGGTTTGCCGCAGATAACAGAGCAGGCAGGAGGGGGAGAGGACGAGGAGAAGAGCAGTGAACTTATTTCTAATTTTATCTGACTTATTTAATTTTATTTTTATTGTTTTTATCGTCCTGCAGGCTCTGAGGGAAAATTAATTTGAAGCTGAGTTTTTTTTAAATAAGTCGTTAGATTTACTCTAAAGCAAAATGATGGAAAATCTGTGTCAATTACAGACATTCTGTTCACGTGAGCAGCTGTCAGCACCTGTCATACTCCAGACGCACGACGGAGCGTCTGAACCAATCACTTTTGTTGACATTGATCAGCTGACTGATTTAAATACATCTTAACATTCATGAGGTACTTTACATTGACTGTTTATGGTTGAATGTGGGTGTGTAGAGGGTAGAACCTGAGGCGGGACCTCATGTGCAAACTCTGACGTGCGGCTGTGATTTATAAAGGAAAGATGCGCAGAAAGATGCGTACGCACTGTTTTATAAATCAGAATTTTTTTGGCGTACGCCATTTTCGCCTTTTGGCCGTACGTTCACTTTTAGTGTGGTTTCCATGCAATCCTTTATAAATGAGACCCCTGGTGATTATTTTATTTGATCTTTTTTTCTTAATTTTAATACTATTATCTTAAATCTATTATTATTGCTACTATTGCTAATGTTGCATAACAATATATTGTTTTGTGGATTGATGTACATGCTGCTGTTACACCTGAATTTTCCCTCTGCAGGACAATAAAGGCTGATCTATTCTATTCTATTCTATTCTATTCTATTCTATTCTATTCTATTAATATATTTCATTCTTCTTTTTACTCTTTCAGCTCGTTTTGTCCTCCTATGGATGGACATCGGTCTAACTTCAGACTTTCTCCATGTTCTTGTGAACCTGGTGAAGTTTAACAGCTGCTACCTGGATCAGAACATCTCTGTCATGGTTCAGTAAGTGGGAGGATGTCTTGCACGCACACACACACACGCACGCACGCACGCACACACGCACGCACGCACGCACGCACGTTTGTTCTTCTGTCCTCATGGGACTTTGCACTGACTATCATTTACTGGTCATTTCTATAGGCTAATCCTGACCCCTTAACCGAAATTTAACATAAACTCAATTCACAACTTAGTCCTAACCCCTGACCCACCAACAGTATTCCCCCCATGGGGACTGGGCTTTTGTCCCCATAAGGAACTGTGGGTCCTCACCAGGCTGTTTGTACTGGGAAAATGGTCAAAAATTGTCCCCACCAGGGAGCAGAAACGTACACACAGAGTTTTCATGTTACTCAGTGCCATGCCTCTCAGACCCACTGTTTTTGCATTCAGTGGAGCTTGATTATCTTGATTAGCTACACCTGAGTAAAAATGTCTACGAACTGTATTTCTGGGCATCACTTGTCCATTTTGATGCAGCTTTCATTGTCTTTTTGTAATGTGTGTGTTATGGATTTTCTGTGTTCTCTGTAGGAAAATCTGTCTGCTGTGCAACAGAACAACATCATCCACAGATATAGAGGTTAGTGTTGGTCACCATCACAAACATTTCTTAAATAAAAAAAATCTTGTTTCTTTATTATTTATTATTGATTTTCTGAATTTTTACTGTTATTGGCTGATATGTTGCATCATTTCTGTGTTTACAGACTAATCTCCAGTTTTCTGCAGCTTTTGAAACTTGCTAAATGCAAATACCTGTTAGGTTCATGATTATGTGACTAAGCCTAAAAGGTTTTCCATGAATAAATTGAAGTTTCTGGTGATGCTGATGTGATGTTCTGTGTTGTTGGGTGATGTTTGTGTTTGGTTGTCGTGTTCAGGTGGCTCTTCAGGTCTTGGATGCTGTCGTGTGCTACAACTGCCTTCCCTCAGAGTCCCTCACCATTTTCATTATAACACTCTGCCGTACGGTTAATGTGAAGGAGTTTTGTGAATCGTGCTGGAAGGTGAGAAAATGATGCTCCTTGTTTTTTAAAAGAACTACAAAACGAATGTTCCTGGTCTTATGTTGTGCTTTGCTGTGTCACTAGTTGATGAGGAAAGTTTTGGGGACTCATCTTGGCCACAGTGCTATTTACACCATGTGCCGCATCATGGAGGAAAGGTAATAAAACTTCAAAATGATGTAGTCAGTTGGAACTAAATGTATATTTCTGAAAATGCTGTGGAGGTGGAGTAGCTCTACAGTTTGTGCGCTCATGTGTGATTCTCTGCACCAGAATGTACATGGAGGATGCCCCGCTGCTGAGAGGAGCGGTGTTTTTTGTTGGAATGGCGCTGTGGGGTGCACACAGACTCCCCGCCCTGAAAAACACACCGACACTCGTTCTGCCGTCTTTTTATAAGGTAACACACATCCATCCGTACAGTTTTACCTTGAGGCATGCACAAACCCTCATATTGTCATTTTCACAAGTTCTTTGAAGTTCAGAGGGTTTTATAGTCTATTGATAAGCTGAAAGTTAGGACTAACATCCTCCTTTTCCCCCTTTACTTAAGCCCTACCAAACTGAAGAAAAAGTGCTGCAAACAATGGTTTATTTAAGACCTTAAGCCTGAAGTTTGTCGTTTCTGATAAAGTTGTCAAAGTAATAATTAACTCGGACGTGTGTTAATTGTTGTTGATTTCAACTCTTTATAGGAAGTTTGATTATCCACAATAAGCTGTACATTAGTGATTTATTTGATTCTGTAAATAAATGATCTTGTTTATTATTAGATCAAACAAAAGTCACTGAGTCACATTCACTTATTGTGTCATCTTACTGTAGCACAAAGAAGTGATTTATTCCTAAAATATTAGGTCCCGTCATAATTCCTTATAACTTTGTTATAAGAAGTGTAATTGAATCCTCGTAAGGGTGAAGGTTCGTTACAGTTGGAAAACATAAAACTCTCTGAACTTTTGTTTTTTGATTATTAAGGCTGTCAGGTAGATGGATTTCATGACATCTGTTTTATGGCACAGGAAGGGTGTATAAGTGCAGCTGCAGAGTAGGGTTTAATTAATAAACAAGCCAAGTGGTAATATACGACGTGGTTTTTGAGTGTGTCTCTTCTAAAAGAAAGACAGACAAACATATCAAGCCTGCACTATGGTCGCTCGGCAGCTGACCGGTTGACGTGCCATCATGTGGTTGTTCGGCGTTCGTTTTTGCACATGCCTTTCATAGTTCCTGGGACACCCCGAGCCGAGCTCCTGGGGAAACCCCTCCCGCTGCAGCATACGTCACTGCATGGGATTCCTTCCCGGGGGAGTCCAATGCGGGAAAAAAAATGTCCTTGGCTCGCTCGACGTTGTATATCCTTAAACTGGTCCCGGATTAAGCTCCAGCGTTTTTATCAGTCAGATTCCACCGTGAAAAATGTCTGTTTTATCCCCATTTATGAGTTTTTGTCCGTTTGACTAAAACTTTAAAAATCGCTGCTTCCTGGTACAGCAGTCGGCTCTGGAAGCGATAGCTTTTTTCTTCTTTTTTCTTCTTTTTTTTCCTTTTTTTGAAGCGAATGGTTGAAGCAAACGCAGCGCCTGAGCACAAACAAAAACTCTCCCACGAAATTCTGACCAATCACACCATACAGTTCGTTTGTGTTCTCATGCGGAGGGCGGTGAAAAGTTCAACCCGCGAGTTGCGACAAGAAATGCCGACAATGTGAACAGAAGTGATGCAATTTTCGTCATAAAACTGCGACAGTTCGGCACGATTTCAGCAGTTTGGCAGCAGCATGCTGGAGCCTTTACAAAAGCCAAAATAATATCTCTTAGTTTTCCATTTTACCAGGTCAATATTTTGATATTGCAGAGGTTAAAACAGTGAATTTGTGCTTTAAAAATAAAACCACACAACTTTCTCTCTGAAGCTACATTTACATGGACATAAGTAATCGGATTAAATGGCCATTTGGAATAAAAGTGTGTCATGTAAACACCCCATTTAGATTATTTTTGTCTGACTCAGCTCGATCCGAATGAATTTGTAATCGGAATGAGAGAGGTGGTTTATGCCTATTGATAATCTTAATAGTGTGCTTTTACACACTTAATCCGATCATCTTATTCTGATTGTGGAAAACTGACCTGACTCTGAATGTCTGCTGACTTTCATCCACTGGTTTCTGCTCTCTTATGGAGGGAGGGACAGCAGCGCTGTAGTTTCCAGCAGCACAGGACTTTTCCTCTCGTTTTCTCATTCAATTGCGCTGCTTCGCAAAAAAAAAAAGAGGAAAGAAATCAGCGCGTCACCTGTAGCTCAACCAGAGAGTGCAGTAACATCTCCATCATTATTAAAACCTGTCGCAGGTCCATTCTGAGCTCAGAAGCTGTTTGTTTATGTTCATCACAGAAGTAGAACTATATTCTGTTTTGTTTTTTTGGGGTTTTTTTTCGGGGAAAGTTAACAACTGCGCATGTCAGTGCTTCTATTCAGAATAAAAGCCCGGTGCATGTAAACACTCATCATGACCCATGTAAACAATACATTCTGATTATTTAATCCAAATACGTTTCAATCCGATCAAAGATTTTTGCACGTGTAAACATAGCTTGAGTTTGCTTTTTTCCTTAAAGGGGACATATTATGCAAAAGCCACCAAGTTGAATTTAGATTCTCCTGGTTATTTGTATTTTCTATTACGTTTTCTGAACTATTACATCACAGTATTTGTTACTGCTAAATAAGGTCTGGATTTACCAACTACAGTTTAGTGGTCTTCATTCTCCTTTCACTCTGGGTCAGTGGCTCCAACATGTAAGGCTGGACGGACAAGTGTTGTTTACATCTTTTAATTAATTTGTAAATAAAACATTTCTTCGCTGCTAGATGGTCGTAAACCCCCCATCAAAGTACAATAGACCACTCTGGAAGCTGGAGGGGGGCGGGGTGTGAAGCGTCTGTTTGGATGTAAAGAGACAGCCTCAAAACGAGTTGATCTGAGACAACCTCAGAAAGGGGGTGAAAGAGGGGCTTGTGGAGTTACAATAAGGAGGAATTCAGACCAAAGCATTGCAGTTCTACTTTATATAGACCCCAACTGGTGATTTACATGCAAGAAAGAAGCATTTAAAAGCATGATAAGTCTATTTTCAAGTAAATATGATGTGTGCATTTGCACATGTGCCTGCTGTCCTGTCCCGACAAGTTCTCTCAGCTGCCTAAAGGGATCCAAATTGTCCTGAATGTTCAGTTTTATTAGCTTTACAGATTACATTTTAGTACTTACCTTCAGTTTTAGTTGCATTTAGACTTTGCAAAAAATGGAAAAAGAAAAAGTTGTTTGACCATGTCCATGTTGCACTGTTTGTGGCATAGACTTAGTACACTTTTTTCTCATAGTATAAAAACATATGTTTAAGTATTTCAGTTGGCCACAGACTTAGGAATTAGATATATGACTTGCATGATGAATGTAAAAAAGAAAGCTCTTACTAAATCCACTAAGAAGTGACTTTTGTTGCCTGACTTTTGTTTTTAGGCCATGTCGTGTGCCAATGAGGTGGTGTCCTATGAAATCGTCCTCTCCATCACCAGACTGATCAAGAAGTATGGCAAAGAGCTGCAGGTGGTCACATGGGACATCCTGCTGGGCATCATAGAGCAGCTGCTGCATCAGATCCAGGTACATGACTACATTGTGCTCACAGACAGTAACAGCTCTTCACTGACCAAGCGTTTTGTGTCCCCTCAGACGATAGGCAGTGCAGAGCTGAAGGCCATTGTCTATGAGCTCTTGACCACAGTGGAAGAGCTGTATGAGCAGAACGGTTATCACGGCTCGACAGAAAAGTTCTTCATTTTGGTGGAAAAATGTGCTGACAAGAGACCCGTATGTGCATTTTTTTTATATCTACCCCGCTGAGTTGTCCTGTATTTTTTTTAATGTGCAGCTTCTTTTCTCATTTTACTCATGTGTGACAGGACGCATCAGTTCTGACCCTCATCTCGTACCGAGCGCAGTCTATCCAGCCGGCCAAGGATGGCTGGATTCAGAGCCTTCACCGCCTCATGGATAAATTTTTTAAGTAGGATTCACTCTGCTCTGATTTGACTCTGTGTTTTTTAAACATTTTTGTCCACAGGAATCATTCTTCTTCTGTGAACTAAAAAAATCTCTCCATCTCTTAACTGTGTGTGACTGAAAGGAACGAGACTCGCAGTGTGATACGGATCAAAGTGCTTCATATCCTGTCCTTCGTTCTCAGCACCAACCGACAGCTTTATGAGGTTTATGATCTCACACTCTTGTGCGCGTGTATACACGAACACACACGTACACAAATCTGCTGTAACTCCAGCACACTGACCAGATGAGCTATAGTTTAAAAAGATTTTGTTGTCAGAGCTGTTTTAAAGATAATCACTAGTTAAAAATTAGATTTCGACTTTTGACGTGCAACATATTTATCAAAAATTAAGATAGTTTCTTGACATTTTTTTCTTTCCTTTTTTAGGATGAGTTGATTGAAATGGTTGTGATCCCTCAGCTCAGTGGGATAGCTGAGGACAGGGATCTGGCTGTCAGGAAACAGGCTACTCAGCTTCTGGTGGATCTTGCTGAGGGTTGTAACACACATCACTTCACTAGTCTCCTGGACATCATTGAGCGGGTACGCAAAGATGGAAAATAACCTCACCAAACCCTCAGAACCATTAAAACTCTTCCATTTTAGCCAAGATTGGGGTACTCTATTTAACTGTATTTTTTCTAGGTGTCCAGTCGTTCTCTGGTTTGTTCAGGGGCGCTGGAGGTTTCTGAACGAGACCCCACAGCTGAGTCTCCTATGGAGGATGTGAAGACTGCTGTATTGGGTCTGTTGGAAATCCTGCAGGTACACTCACACATACACACAGAGACTAATTTACCAAAGGGATGTTTGATTAAATTATAATTTTGTTAATTGCAAGTTTGAGCTGTAGGCTGTTGGCCATATCCATTGATTTATGCTCGTCTTTTTTGTGTTGCTGACGGTCGGACTCTGAAATTTGTGTAAGTCAGTTTAACATGCTGAAAAAATGTTGACTTCAGGCTGCACAACATATAGAAACTACATCATCATAGTGTTGTTGTGCTCTATATCACTATTGCAAACAGCTGTTTGGATTGAAATAAATCATAAACTATTGTATTCCAAGTCTCATGCATTTGAAGGGCATCCATGATCAATAAATGGATATAGCAGAAAACCAGTTGAATCTCTTCTAAAAAGACTTTATTCTCGTCTCTCTGCAACCAGCCCAGCACTCAGCACTCAGCAGGCCTCAGCATAAAATGACCTTCGTCTTTTCTGAAACTAAAACAAGACAGCCCAGTCTGTCCCAGCTGAATCTACGACAGAGACTCCACAAAAACATCTAACCTTCTACTCACATAATAATAAATAATAATAATAATAATAATAATATTGAGGTATTATGTCTTATTGTGTATTTTGATTTGATTTGATTTGATTTGATTTATTTATTTAACAGGAAAAGATGATTAAAAATCAAGCCTGACTCAGCATAATTGCTGTTTTACAGCAGGTTCCTGTTCTGCAGCACATAAACACTCAGAAATACACAATCACATCATTATTATTACACCATAGACACAAAGACAAACAAGCATACCAATCGACCTGTCACAAAGACAACATTTGTTGCCATTTCCTTTAC